CCTTACTTTATTAAAATGATACACAAATACTATCCCACCAAGCATTATCTTCTTAGGTTCAAGAAAGACTCCCTGATGAGTGTTCATTTTGTGGAATTTACCCTGAAACAATGGTTCACTTGTTCTGGCAATGCCAGTGTACCAACACATTTTGGAAAGTTGTATCCAGATTTATTATTGAACATATTGACTCTGACTTTATGCTATACTGGAAAAATGTACTATTTGGGTTCAACAAAAGTAAGGGAAAAAAACACTAAACAAACCTTCATTTTAAATTTAATAATCATTCTCGCTAAGTTCCATATCCACAAATCCAGATGGAATAATTCAAAACCTCTTTTCTTAATTTTTGAAGCAGAAACAAAGCAGTACCTGAGTTCTATTATGGATTCCTAAAACAAGAAAGCTGTTAAGACTGGCTATATGCTCCTTATTTGAAATTCTTGTCTAAAAATCCCCTGGTTTCTTTTTTGTTTAGACGTTATAAATATATGTATATATTAATAACATGTTCGTTTTGTTTTCTGTTTACTGAGAATTGTATTCTGACTTGTTCAATAAAGATTGTTAAAAAGAAAACAAAAAAAACTTCACACTAGCCTCGCGCCAGTCCCAGCTAGCGAGCTACCTAAGTAGCAAGCCGCACATAATGCAGACAATTTGAATGTTGTGGACCGGATTTTAGTGAAGCCGTTTGATAGTCTTCCTTACGAGGAAAAGCTTAGAGTTAAATAGCAGGGCAGATCAACTCCTCGGATTGATTTGGTGCAAAGGGCGGGGAAAAATTTGATGAGATGAGACAAGTGTTCCCAGAGGAGGTGTTTCAGTGTGTCCTGAAAGGTTTTGGCCAGTTCTTTGATTCGGGAAGACTGAGGTCTGAACTTCAAGTCCTATACGCAAACCAGGACTTGCAGGGCAACAGGAGAAAGCTGTGTAATTTCTTGTCGTTTCTGACAGGCACGGAGTTAGACAGCGCACTGCCTCAGGTCTACAGACTGCTGTCATTAGTGGCAACGATTGGAGCTACAGTACATCTGCAGGTGAAGAGAGGAGCTTCTCCTGTTTAAAGCGGCTCAAGCCTGACACCCGCAACACCATGGGCCAAAGCCGTTTAAGCAGCCATAGAGAGGACACTAGTTAAGTCCCTGGAAAAGTCACCTTGTTTGTATGACAGGGTCACAGATCATTTTCTTGAAAACGAACAGAGAGTGGAATTCACGTTGTTGGAGGCGATCAAGCAGGGGGAGCGTGTTGTGGTGGACACGGCGGGATCCCTTCACCGTCCTCCGCTTCCCCCCAGGTCCTGCGCGTGTTCGTTTGATTCGAGCTGAGTTGAGGTGTGAAAATCAGAGGCTGGAAATGGAGAAGTTCTTGCAAGAAGTTATACTGAACGTTCAGGGCACAAGTGTGAAACAAACAAGTGTTGTGGTCAAGACACAAATGCGCGAAAAAAACAAAGTCCCTATACCAGTCATATATTCTAAGCTTGGCGTATCTCCTTCTGGGTATCATCTTTTCCTGTTATGAGAATCACCACCTTTTTCTGTTTCTGTTTCGGGATGATGGTTCGAATGTCCTTGGTGTCTTTTCCATCCCTCTCTGACATTTCTCAGAAGTTATCTTGATGGAACACAGCTGTAGGTGGGAAACCGCAATCTAGCCACCAGACGCTCACGTACTTGTGTGGTCTATGTTCACGAAAGGTGTTAACAATATTTTCTGTTGCCAAGGCAGTTCAAATTAAGGTCACCTCATACGGTTCAACTGGTGGTTATATTGCAGACTAAGAGTGAGGTTTATCGTCAAAGTCTGTCTGTCTGCGATACATAGTTTCTAAGGTAAACTTGTAACATATAAAAGTGAGAACTTCAACGTATAAATAAACGGACACATTTTATGATGCAGGGAAAAACTGACCCCGCCCTTGACAGACCAGCATCCGCCACTGCTGTGAGTGTTAAAACTTAGGGAAGAAGTGATTTGGAAAGCCATAGTTCAACCCTCATCACATCACAACGCTTCACTCGGTGCTCCACTTTTCCACATCCAATATGTCAGCTACGTTGACATACGTGTGGCAACCGGAATGACGTCAGGGAAATGGGATGCCAATGGGACCGCGCAGCAGGGTCACGTGATTTCAGAGAAAAGCAAAGTCGCGCTTCCTTGTTGCAATTACCCCTCACTACTAGCAGGATGTAACTGTTTCAGCACAAATCCCACAAACACTGTTTTTCATCTCATTTGACGTGCTCTCACACACACACACACACAGACACACACATTTGCTGTCGTTTCAGCAACTTACGCAAAACGACGTCAACGATTTATTGTCAAATTCGGTCGAAAATGTATTCAGCCAAAGGGGGGGGGGGGTGACGTTACGGGCAGACAGAATTCTAATTGGTTCAAGTGGCGAACTAGTCCAAGCGCTCCCCAATGGCTGTTATCTCGGGTTCGCTGGTGGGACAAACAGCCGCAACTTCTCATTACTTGTCCTTCTGCGACACAACTTTGGATGCCGAGAATGTATCTCCTCGTCCTCTTTGTTGCGGCTCTGCAAACACTCAACGTGACGCCCGGTCAGTGCACTTCGTTGACAACTTGGTTACTTGCGCGAAAGATTGTGAACCGACGCGTTCACGTTTATTCTCTTCGCGTGCCCGCTGCCTCAACATTTCCCAGCATAAATATGTTATAGATTAAATATGGAAAGGCGAACACCCAGTCATGAAATGTTATAAGAGACCATAAATAATAGCCTATTAAGAGAAAAGGATTTGTACATTGTGTGAATATTTTCTAAAATATTTCAATCGACAAATACAAAAAAATCGACATGCACTTTTTGGACTGTGGGGTTCCAATGTTGGTGTATACAGACAATGGAATGTTGTTTTCTTTGGCATGCTTTTGTCGCGCAAGGCAGAGCAGCTTCTTGTCTTCAGCAAACTACTTGCTGCTAACCATCTCGGTCAGAGTCTCCTCCTTCAGTACAGGGTGTGAAGCATACAATGAACAGTATACTATGGACCTGAGGTGTACACACTGATGAGAAGACAATCCACTCCTCAATGCAAAGTCCATGTTTGTCTGGCAGTCGGATGATTCACATGAAACATGCTGATTTTCACCCCATATTTTAAGCTGAACATGAAGGGGAATACAAGTACCACAGTGAGACTTTGAAACAGCATATATTCCATTCACGGGATCGATGCACTCATTCTCGAGGTGGTGCCTTGCTGTCACATCCTTTTGCCTTTTAGTGTGCTTTCGTTCAATATGCCTTTTAATGTTTTTCTTATTGAACGTAATGTGGCAGATGGGACATTTTACAGTAATCTGTCGATGAGAGATTTTTTTCATCCGTCCACCTTGCGGTATGGGCACTGTAGGTGGCGAGGCACTGTGTGGGGCAGAAGCAGGCAGCACAGAGGATGCAGCAGCACATGGCGCAGTAGCAAGAGGTGCAGTGGAGAGTGGGGCAACAGATGGGGCAATGAATGATGCGGCCACATCAGGCAGCACAGACGGTGGTGCATCAGCAGGTGGCGTAGCGGTAGAAGGTCCAGTAGTAAAAGGTCCAGCGATAGAAGGTCCAGCAGAGGGTGGGGAAGCAGAGGGATGGGCAGAGGGATGGGCAGCGATGGGTGGGGCAGCAAAAGGTGAGACAGCAGTGGGTCGTGGGGATGCAGGCGCCTTAGCAGCAGCAGCAGAGACCATAAAAGCAGGGTGCTTTTCTTTACACATGTGAAGGTGATTTATGAAGGGTACCCGGCGCATTATTATTCCACAGCAATAAATACAATGAAAGTGGAGTTTTGGTCGGCATTGTAGCCCACATCTATGAATGGTATACCCTGTAATAGAAAATAGAGCTGAAACGTTTTAAATAATCATTTACATTTATCATAGACAACATCTTTACAAATGATCAGCTACAACAGGTCACTGAGTGATTGGTGAGGAGCCATCCAAATGAAAATGATCAATACTGTGACTCACACAAATTGTGTCTCGCAAACTTACC